TTATGGCGGATTCTTGCCTGTCCCGAACCCCTTCAGTTTCATATCGGGAAGGCAGAAGAGAGCGTTCGAGTGACGCTCGTGATTCAGAAGTGGTGCTTGACCTCGAAAGATCGCGAACCACCGATGGAGAACGGGAGAAAAAAAAGAAAAAAAAAAAGGAAGGGAAGCAGTCAGAAGAGCATTCGAAGGTCGCACTTTTCGGAGTCTCTACGGGAGAACAATACCAAAGAGCCCAGGGTCTCGATAGAGGACGTCGTAAGGAGGGTTGAAACACTCGGAAATCGTCTAGGTCGATACGTCTACGTAAACGTATCCAACGAGGAAAAAAAAAGAAAAAAAAAAAAAAAAAAAAAAAAAAAAAACGAGGAAAAAAATGCACAACACACGTCGAGGAAAGGGGTTAAACGTCAGGAAAGGGTACTCGTCACGTATCCGTTTTCAACGACGGGAACAACGGAATCTCGAAACGCGTCTGTGTATTCGACAGCCGCGAGCTTCACCGTCGAAGGAACTCTAAAGCTCGAGAAAGATTCGGAATTCTTCGAGGTCGGAACAACGCGTTGGACGCGATTCGAGATTTCGCAACGATCGGTTCGCCGATAGAAATTTCGCGAACCGAGTAACGCACGAACAACGCCCGTTGCTACGCGTCCTCGATGACTTCTTCTTCGCGGTAATGGAAGGGAGCCACCATCCTCGTCGTCGTCGTCGTCGACGTCGTCGCTGCTGTCGTTGCTGTTGTTCACGAGGAGGGTTGGATATCTTTTGTCAGACGTTGTTGGAACGTTGTTGCTGGGATATGTGGGCCACACCGGTGGTGCGTAAAGTTGCGTGCGAGGGGGCAAAGACATCTGTGGCGAAAACAGGTCTAACGACGCCAGAAACGAGGAGCTCGCGCGGACGATATATAGCTGGACGTCTGGCCGAAAATTTCTTCGTATTTTTACGCGTCCACCGGGACAATTCGAGAACGGTGTTCGCGTAGATCGATTGTGTCTCGCGACCGGAATAAATATCGTAATTCACTCGTCGCCGGCGAAATTATCATCGGGCCCGGTGGTCGTCGTCTCGCTTTTTCGCCGTCGACTCTGTTCTTCTGCTCGCGCGGCGGCCGCGTTTTCCCGGAATTTTCCAGCAACGATTGATAAGGGACGTAACCTCTTTACGTATATAAAAATATCACCGAGGGAAACGAGGATATTGGCCAGCCGAGCCAATCGGTAGAGAAAGCAAGGGGAGAAAGAGAAAAGGAGAGAGAGGGGGAGAGAGTGAGAGAGAGAGAGAGAGAGAGAGACCACTAGGCAAAAACGATTTTATGTAAAATATGATAATGTAATACGCGCTAGACTAGTTAAAGCAGAGACTTAAGGTAGTTAATGAAAATAGAGAGCGAGAGAAAAATGGGAAGAGAGACGAAGAGAGAGAGAGAGAGAGAGAGAGAGAGAGAGAGAGAGAAAGAGAGAGAGAGAGAGAGAGAGAGAGAGAGAGAGAGAGAGAGAGAGAGAGAGAGAGAGAGAGAGAGAGAGAGAGAGAGAGAGAGAGAGAGAGAGAGAGAGAGAGAGAGAGAGAGAGAGAGAGAGAGAAAGAGAGAGAGAGAGAGAGAAAGAGAGAGAGAGAGAGAGAGAGAGAGAGAGAGAGAGAGAGAACGAACAAAAATATCGCGACGATTAGGAAATGGGCACGTTGGTCGAGAACTTTCCGAACGAGACGATTGGATGCGACGAGTAATATTCGAGGCATTCTCGAGTTTCGATATTACTTTTCGAAATATCTCTTTTTTTTTTCCAAAACATCTCGAAGAATTTTTGTTTGTTGCTTCGTATCATCGGAACGTTGCTTCCCTTGCTACGCAAATACGTGGTATATATTTTTTTTGTCTCTCCCTGATAAAACACGCGTCTTTTCCGACAGCCACCGAGAAAGAAAGTGGAACGATGATATTTTGGGCGGACACGATGGCGAATCGATCTCTTCCGGAATTCTCGACGTTACGGCTTCGCGAGAGGAGAAAAAGATCGCAAAGTAAAACGGAAGGGAGGGGGCGTGTGGGATGCGCGCTGTGCTCCAGCAGTCTCGGGACCCTATTTATGTTTTATATTATATTATATATATATATTATATATATAAATATGTGTATAAACATTTTTAATTTATTTATTTAATTCATTAATTTTATTGATTTACGATTAAACGTCATCTCCATCTCGGCAACCGCCTTTGTTTTTAATCTTACGTTGACCTTTTCGTTACATTTCTTTCTTTCTTTCATTCAGAGTTTCACGGGTTAAAACGTTGAGTTTCCTCGATTTTTCCGTAAAGCGCCAGCAGGTAGGTGTACGAATTCTTTCTTTTGTTACCATCGATTCCACCTCGTTTGCGCAGCGAACTCGCAACAAGCTAAATGGACGACGATCGCACCGATTAAGTCCCAAGATCTCCAAGTTTTCGACAATGGCGCTGAATCTCGTTGCGAGACAAAGGCAAGGTAAATGCACCGGCACGCGAAACGACTGATTCGAAACAAAAGATTCTTCCCGTAGAAAGTTCATAGACGGATTCAGGCCGTGGCACGAGAGGGAGTCGCTTCGCGACGAAAGAACCCTCGAAGAAAGCCAATAGAAATTTTCATAGCTAGCAAAGAGTTTCTCGTCTGCCGCCTTCAGTCTCTTATTGCATTCCAGCGAGTCGTTTCGAAACAAGTCACTTCTCTTCCCCCGTGAAAATAGCTTTTCGCCCGTTTCCGGCCGAGGATGAGAAGCGATAAACAACGACCGTGCTACGACGCGACGTTGCGTTTTCATTTCGAAATCGTCAAAGGACCTTGCTACAATCAGAAGGACCGATCCGATGCGCGAGGACAACGCGTCCACCACGACGACGACGACCACTACTACGCCGCGGCGATAAATAAAACGCAGGAAAACGAAACAATTCGCTGGAAAGCGTCTCTCCTCGCGACTGCGCGCCTCCAACGCTACATATTCCGCGAGCGGATTCGCCGTGAGAAAAATAGAGAAGCAAAAGTCTATAAAACACAAACTATACGACCACGTCGATCCTCGTAACCGTTCCTCTTAATCGAACTCGCTGCCTCGAACGTAACTGCCCTTCGGATTCGAGGTCACCGGCCGTGTCACGGACTTATCGAGCGTGGAAGATCGCGAACGGCATTTCGCTCGGTGAATCGAGACACCGGTGACACCCCGTGGAAATTCGCGTCACGACCTATGCACCACCGAACAACGAAAAGTTTCCGTGCCGAGCTTCGTCTCGTTTCGTCGGGTCGCGTCGGGTCGCGACGAAGCTAACCAACCTGTTACTCCGGTAAAATTCGTTTAAAAGTGCGATAATTGGCGAATAAGTTGGCCGGGACGAACGAACGATAATTTAATGCACGTCGTTCTGGCAGCAGCTCGAAAATAGAAACGACTTTCCCGGGTTACTGCTCGTGAGGTATAATCGAGTACTCGCATTTAAATTTAATGCGAATGTCGGTTAAAAGGAGCTTCCCCCTTGGCGAAAATAATCCTCTTCCACCGATTCGGATAATTTTAATGGCCGAGAAATTCGATTTGTTTATCGCCCGACTGAATGCGATCGAGCAACGTAGCTCGTCTCGGATGCGGCAACGAAAATAGAAACGCGAATCGAACCTCGTTCAGAGAGATTTGCTAAAAAGGCTGCATTCGTAACGCGAACAACGACGTTACCGCGCGAAAATCAGCCCCCGAAGTAAATTGGCCGTGGTCGGCTTTTATTTTCGCGCCCGATATTTATCGTCCGCTTTATTTCTGGCGAACCTTATTTTTCTCCCGTTTCCCCGACAACGTCGTCGACGACGAGGACGACGGGGGCCACCGCTGTTTGCGATACCGATTTTTCGCGAAAAACGCGGCCACGTTCGCCGAGTGAAATAAAACGTATGAATATCTACCGTCGGAGCTGTATTAAACCTGTCTTATGCATGTACCGGAAGAGAAATTGCTTCTTACCGCTGCCCCGACCCGTGGAAATTCATTCGCTTTTCGTCCCCCCAGCACCGACGACGACGACGACGACGACGACGACG